CCCCAAAACCCCAAAACCCCAAAACCCCAAAACCCCTTGGTTACATAAACAGGTGTTATATGATAAAGACAAAATAATTCTAAACATATTCTCTAAAAATTAATAAGGACCTAAGTAATACAGAAAAATCAACAATAGTTCATCTTGCCAATCATTATCTTCGAAAAGCCCTCCTGTTCGGTTTGGGCATCTCAAGTCACTATTGTCTAAGATTATATTGTTGATGCTTCTTGTTATTGCTAAATTACCTTATTTTTGACTAATGAAATTAATACTCCAAAATGGCCATATTAACTCAGTCGTCATCATTATCCTGATGGCGTTAGTAGTGAATTTTTCAGCATCCTTGATACAGTAATGCTTCAATGTCCTTCACCATTGTAATTGGTTCTACTCTAGGACCGAAGTAAGCAACTACCTCTCCGTCTTCATTGACCAAGAATTTAGCGAAGTTCCAAGGGATTTCCTTGACCTCCTTCTTCTCTTTGTCATTAAGCTCTGAGTTATATCTGAGGTACTTAAATACTTCATTACTGTTTTCTCCATTTACGTCTGACTTCTCAAATATTGGCCACTCACCTCCATAGAGTTCTCTGATAAATTGCTTGACCTCTTAATTGGTACCAGGCTCCTGGCCACCAAATTAGTTGCAGGGGAAAGTTAGGATCTCAAAACCCTAATCACGATACTCCTTGTAAAGCTTTACAAACTGAGTATAGTGCTTGTCAGTCAGTCCTCACTTTGATGCTACATTGCTCACGAGAGTGCATCTTTTTCCTTTAAGAATGCTTCCAAGTTTTTCAATTCTGTTTCCATCGATATCAGTCGCTCCAATGTCAAGAAGAGACTCATGACTAGTTGAGAATTTGTCTTTGCCACTCTTAAATACGAGTTTGGCTACTACTGCTCCCATAAATAAAATATATACTATAAATCTTATTAAGATTTCATTAATATCAAAGCCATAATAAATTTGACTCTAGGGGTTTTGGGGTTTTGGGGTTTTGGGG